TTCCTTTTGACTTTTTTCAACCATTATATTTTTTCTTTTTGTCATTTTCTTCTTGTAAATAAATATTTTATTTATTCTAAAATTTACATTTATCTTTACTTGAAGGTATTCGTACAATGTATCGAAACACATCTTGATTTCAATGTTTTATTTTATTCATTTTTTATGATATAATACGTTTTTATGTGGTTTTAAGAAAACGATAATGTTTTTATTTTTTAATAAAATATAAATTTAAAAATATCATAAAGTTTTTAAAAAGAAATATCGATATCAGTATCAAATTAATCTTTTTAAAAGTTCTTGTGTTTTGGTGTAATTTTTTTTAATTAAATTTTCTTAATTATAATTTAATTTAAGTTTAGTAACAAAAGAAATTTAATTTAAGTTTAATAATATAACTTTTTAGAAAGATAATAATTAGGTATTCTGTTAGAACTCTATAATTATCCTAATTATTGAGAACATTTCTAGGCTCCAAATTAATTAACATATAATAAAAATTAGAATAAATGAAAATTAATTAGTATTTATCCATAATTTTTTGTTATCCTTATCTCTTGAATTTTGTTATTATCATCAGAGACTTTTTCTGTCGATGCGTACGTTGTCAATAATGATGTGATAATATCGTGATAATTATCTGATTTTGCTGTGATAATAATGTGATAATGATTTGATAAGTTGAAGACTTTTTATGATGTGATTTTGATGTGATAATCATCTAATAACTTTGTGATTTTTGTTGTGATAACGATGTGATAATGTTGTGATAATCAAAAACCCGCGTTGATAACGTCTACATTCATCACTCTGTCTGGTTATTATGTGATTTTGTTGTGATAATTTTTTGATACCAGTTAAAATATTTTCGGTATGTGATTTTAGAGATAATGATGTCACCAAAATGACAGATAAATACGAAATCACATGATTATCATTAATTAATTAGTTTATTTTCTTTTAATTTTAATTATACGTTAAATAATTTGGAGGTCTATAAATGTTCTCGCATTCTCGTAAAACAGAGGTATTCTCGTTTCAATTTTCAAAGAATTCGTGTTTGATTCTTCTTGTATGGGAATGAGAGTAAGTAATTGCTTATTTAGGCTTTTAATTGTTAAGTTTTCTTTTTATATTTATTTAAGTCTTAGATCTCGTACATAATTATTATTTATCTTTAAATTATATATTAAAAAAATCTCACACCTTATAAAATAACGTGTTGTAACGTGCCATAACACATCGTAATGAACTATAGTGTGTTACAATGAAATCAAGCCTTAGAATGGAGTCACGGTAGTTAACGTGGCGGCGAACCCAAGCCTTGACGCTATAAAACGTCATAATGAGGTCAAAACAAAGGTTAAGATGCATCAAACCAATTTAGTAGAATGACATTAGATTTCCTTCATTTCAGATTTCAAGAAGAAAAAGGAAGTGCTCAAAACAACTGTAATCTTTCTACCTGGATATCCAACCCGCAAAGTAAGTCGATTAATTACATGACGATCATCCGCTTTGCGGGTAGTCCGAAGTCACCGTATTTGAACCTCCCTGGCCACAAGGGGATTTTTTTTATTCCTCCTTGGATTCGAACCTTAGACCTCCTGACACTTTTGACAATAACCATATCCAAGTAACCATTTCAAGGAAATAAAATGTTGTATCAAGCACTATTTAGCCGTTTCAAATAGATTAATAGAAGATCTCATTATCCAATAACCATCTCAAAGAAACAACACAGTAAAATCAGTTCCAAAATACAGAAATCAAACAATCTGGTAAGAACTTAAGCCTATACAGATTAGAAACTAGAAAACAATATAGTCCAAAATAGATTGTTCCTCATCAGTGGTTTTTTATCGTGTATTTCTTGCGATAACAAGCTAGGTGCTTACTTTCATACAGGTGTTGCATGGTTGTCGTCAGCTCGTGTTGTGAGATACACAACCACTTCAAGCACCGTAAACCAAGTTCAAGATAAAGCCTCAATATGGTTCTTTCCTTCATCGGTCGAAATCGGCTGCCTTTGAACAATGGAACTACTATAACCATTGGGATTATTATTACTGCAAATAATCATTGGCTCTTCGGTTACCAATCGAGGTTTCTTCCATGTAGAAGCGTTTCTTGATGAAATATTGAATGATCTGCGAAGAGACGTAGTGTCCATATCCATTATAACTCCCTGCCGAATCAATTTTACAAAATCAAAAAAGTATCCACTGTGTATTGATGAGAGGTCAAAGTACAATGATCAAAGTCTTCTAAACAACAAGTCAACAAGACAATTTATACCAACACTAGTGATAGGATCGATTAACTCAGTTCTTATATTAACCCTCTACTTTCAACAACAAATAATAAACCTGACATAACATGAGTAAAACAGATATTCAGATGAAGGGATTAGAAAAGGCATCAAGAGGTTCCCTTGGTACCATTTATAACATATTCAGATCAAGAGGTTCGCTAAGATTCAATGATGTCACAAGCAGAAGTGACTGCATAGGAAGATAACAACGTTAGGATTCAGATTGCATTCAAAACCATAAATTCGTACTTCCTTTTGAATGTCATCTTACCTCATGTAATAACTTTGAAATCGTATTTTCAAATGAAGCAGATGCATGCGCAAGAAGTCTTCTCGACTGTTAAACAATATCAACACCACTCTCTGAGTATATAGTGAAGTGCCAGAGATAAATTTCAAGAAAAAATAGTTCGGATTCAAGCTTCCCATGGTTCTTTTGTTGAACAAAAGCTTCCCATGAATTGTTGACCTTTGGAGCCAAGCTCAAACCAATCAGGCACCACCCTTGTGGTCATGAAACAACTCTATTACGAACCATGACCTGGAGAATAAGTAGTAATTTATGCGTAATAACTTGTTTTAAGACTTTTATAACATCTATTTTATAAGGTAGTATAAGATTATTAAGCATGCTATGATTGTTATTTGTTTTTGTGCTGCAATCAGGCCCGTTCCTGACATTTTTTAGGCCCTGGGCGAACATAAAAATAGGGGCCCCACTGCAAGAAACAAGGCTTTTAGCAACCACTTTTGTTGCCGCTAAAAGTCCGTTTATCATTAGAAATAGTATATAACTTGTGACACATGTCGTTGTTATAACTTGTGACACATGTTATCGCTAAAAGGCGCATCGTCAAATCTCACTTTTCTTGTAGTGACCTTCGGTAAGTACGAAAAAAAAATTCAATAAATGTTTTTCATTAGTATAAAATTGAGTACAAAAAATGCTAATAATTTACAGAGTAAATAAATCTTATTTATCTTTATTATAGATATATAAGAGAGTATTTAAATTTACGTACTTCTTATTAGGTAATTTTAAACCAAGAGTATATAAACWATGGTTGATAAATTTTTATAARACGTAAGAAATTTTTACTTTATAACAAGAAATATGTGTTATTTTGATAYAAAAAGAGAATTCGTGTTAATGAAATAATTGTGAGGTCAATGAGAGATCAATAATAAAGATGATTATCAAAGTCTTCTAGACAAGTAGACAAATGAAGATCAATAAGAATATGAAAGAAAAGATGATCTATTAAAATCTAGTAAAAATAAATAATGAATTAAACATATAATATGCAAACTCAACAAATGATTGTTTGAACACTTAAATAGAATCTTGTGGTGTAGTAGAATCCCAATGAAAGATACATAAGTCAAACAATTGATGAAAATATTTAAATTATATTTCCTTCTTTTTTTGTTCAACTAAAATAAGATCTTGATATTAAAAGTTTATGGAACATGACATATATAAGGGACATTACTAAATACATCTAGTAGAAAAAATTTATTGATTAATCACAAAACCATGAAACACGTCATAAATCATAAGAACAATAGATTAATTGTCTAAAAAAAAGTAAAATATTTTATGTAGAAGCAAAAATAGATAACAATAGTCAACAAAAACAATTAGAACAGCATAACCAAATAGCAATAGTCAATAAAAATAGAAATTGATAAAACTATCTAACGTTGAATTGTTGAAGCACGAAAATAGTGAAGCATATAGAGATAGCAATAGCCAATATCATTGGATCTTGGTGGAGATAAAAAAAAATTAGAGGGGCAATAAACAATAACATATAATGAATGACCAATTAACTTTTTTTATTTTCTTCTCCAATGTAATTAGTTGATATATTTTTTGGCCCTTATTATCTATTAAATTATTTTTCTCTCTTATTATATGCTACAGTTTTTTGGTTTCGTTAATTTACTAAATTCTTTTAAACTACTATATATTTTAAGAAGAAATTTGGGCCCCTGATATTTTTGGGCCCTGGGCGTACGCCCGTGTCGCCCTCCCCCAGGGACGGCCCTGGCTGCAATTTGGTATCATTATCGGAAAAATGAGAGGTTATAATACCATATCAAAGTTTAAATTCGAGTTTTAGTGGTTGGCACTGGTGGAAAACAAAAATCCTAATTGTAAGCCGTTGAGATTGGAATTGATATCTTAGGTGGCGTTTGGTTTGCAAAATATTTTTGGATGTAATACAATCCGTTAAAGGAATTTAACTTTGAAGGAATTAGAATGAAATGTTATCAGGTTTGACCGTCTATTTCGTTGGCGGATATTGGCATGGAATTTATTGAAGTAATTGGAATTTGTCTGTTTAGTTCCCAAAATGTAGTTTTAGAATTGGAATGAAACATAGATGAATGACCAAAATACCTTCTTTTAAAAATTAATCAAGATCATTAAATGTTACAAAATCAGCATGTTACTGATCAAAATAAATATAAAAATAAGAGAAAAAGAATTATTCAAAATAACAACACTGTAAAACCTAATCAGATATGCATCAAAATGCAACAAAGTTAAATAGAAAACTCGAAATCGTCAGAATCCAGAAATCAAAAAATAAAGATTCAAAAACAACTTAAAACTCCTCAAGATTACAACAAAAAAACAGTCATCAATCCTACAATTTTGAATCCAAATCCTTGAAAAGATGGAAGAATTTTAAGATCACATCCATTGCTGTTTAGTTTTCTCCATTCTCTCCAATAAACCAGCAATCTCTGCTTGCATTCTCATCTTCATCTTGTAATACTCGCAATGATCGTTTTCCGAAACCTTAACCTCTTCCGCTTTCTGCTTTCTTCGTTCTTCGGTTTCTTGCAAATTTAACCTCCCGATCTTCTCTGTATACTCTTCATCCAACTTCTCGATCTTTACCCTGATCATCCGTTTATACCCTTCTGCTTCTCTTCTTGCTTCATCGGCTTTCGTTTGAAACATTCTTGCTTCCGCTTCTTTAATTCTCACGAGGCTTTCCACGCTGTCGAATGCGTCTTTCTTTGACGATTTCACGGACCATTCGTCCTCGATCATCATTTTGTTGGAATTCATCATGTGGGGATGAGTTTTGAGACTGTTTTCTTTATCTCCCCTGCTATTTGAAGATCCCATGTTGTAGAAGGACGTTTGCTGCAACGGGTGAGGTTTCAATGGCGGGATGGCGTCTTTTAAGGACGAGTTGGTGACGGGATACTCGGACGTGATGTCTGTGTCTATGGCTATGAAAAGGATACAATCGTAAATTAGAACACAATTGAATAACAACTATTCGCAACACGTTAAATGCAAACAATTCAGATATGGTAAATATATGGCATCTGCAAAGTACGGGGCTAATCATATGAGAATCACAAAAATGTTCCAAACCTGTAAGAACCTATCTCAATGTATTGTTTCACATGATATTTTTCATCTGGGATTTAAGGTATCGTTTCACATATTTCGCAATTTATTTGCTTCACAATGTGAAACCTTTTTATGTGTATTTTATATAACATGTATTAGTTCACAGACGAAGGATCTTGTGAGAAGGAGAGTTAAGATGAGGAGCGTAAGAAGAGATCTGGACACTTGATCACCTTTAATCTCAAACCCACCCATGATTGGCGCTTGGTACGGGGATTGATCCAGTGCATCACAAAAATGTTCCAAACCCGTGAGAACCAATCTCGATGTATTGTTTCACATGATATTTTTCATCTAAGGCTGGGATTTAAGGTATCACATATTTTGCAATTTATTTGTTTCACGATGTGAAACTTTTTTACATGTATTTTTTATGACATGTATTATTCACAGGCGAAGGATGTGAGGAGAGAAGGTGAGAAGCTTAAGAAGAGATCTGGACCCTTTATCACCTTTAATCTCAAACTCACCAATGAATCCCACTTGATACGGGGAATGATCTGGTGCATCCCATCCTAATGTGCATCCAAGGGTGTATATCCCTTCTTACGCTTCTCACCTTAACTCTTCTTCTCATTGGAACCCAACCCTTATTTCACAATATGAAACAACACAGTTGACTGGTTTCACAATTTTCAAAAAATTTGAGATTCTCGTCTAATAAATGCCCCTCCCCTAAATATATCATCAAACTTACCATTTGACGGGCCGGTATGGTAGTGTGCGATAATGAAAGTAGGAGGAGGTTGCAGAACGATTGCAAGTCTAGCTTCTACTCCAGACACCACCCACCTGCCCCATTGTGGCTGCAGAATTGATGGCATCATACCCTTTTTGCAGAACAATGAAAAGATAAAAGAGTAGGACAAGGGAACCACCATCATGACATCCACGCCATCAAATGATAATTTTGATGGTATTGTTTAGTGGATGCCATAGTATGTTTGTCTTGGAGTAAAAATATCCCAAGTTAACCACAAGGGTGGTGCCTAATTGGTTTGAGCTTGGTTCCAAAGGTCAAAAGTACCATGAGGTCCCAGGTTCAAATCCAAGGAGGAATAAAAATCCCCTTGTGGCCACGAAGGTTCAAATGCGGTGACTCTGGGCTATCTGCAAAGCAGGTAGTCGCCTTGGGATTAGTCAGCTTGCATAGCGGGTTGGATATCCAGGTTAATCAAAAAAAAATTATCCCAAGTTAGAAGTAGATAACAAGGATATTTTTAATTATTTATGGTCAATATTACAGATAGCACCGATAATCGAAAGCAGGGTTTGGGATGGGTGGGAGCGAAAAGGACAAGGATAATCACAACTAGCACATATTAAGCAGCAGAAAAAGGAAAAAAGACACAGAAAACATAAATCTTGAGTCCTACATCAACTCAGAAATGTGCTGAAGCAATTGGGAACTTCTGTTGTTTGACTTACAATGCTAAACAGACACTCGATTTGCTTTGGAATGTGACTTGAAACATGCAAATTATAAGCAACAAATTGGTAACAATGTGGATTGCAAAAAGCAGTCTCGTATTAAGTGAACGTATCTCTTGATGTTTGCTTTCGGGTTTCACAGTAGTATAATTTCTTTTGGTTTAATCCGAAGCTACCCCAACTCCCCTTATAACCGACTTACTTTCAAACAGACCTAACTAGGCACCACCAAGATTGACCAACCACTTAGTATGGGTATAACACAAACATACTCCTTCTGTACCATAAAAACAACAACGTTTGACTAAGGATACAAACAACGACAAAAATCAAGAAATCTTGTTCCACTAAAATAGATATCACTGATGATGTTGATCTTTTAACTAGAGAAAGAAACATTGAAATTCATAGCCCAGATGAAACTTGTTATTCCCTCCGCTCCGCCCCATGAAAATAGCAGCATTTAACTCGAATATCTAAAACACCAAATCGAGGAACTTTGTAGACTCAAATTGATACCACCAATTTACCTCGTAAGGGGAGAATAGGTAAGTTTTTATTCAGGAAAAACTTTCAGAAAAGGGATGGTTGCAATTTGTATGGCACATCTGATTCAAAACATTTTGCAATGTTCATGAGGCGTAAAAAGTAGAGTTTCCATGGAAATGAAGTACAATTTCAAGAAACGAAAACTCAACGTGAGCTAACATGAACAACCACAAAAAGACATACAGGATGTTCGAAACAACTAGTTATCAAAACTGAGAAATAAAAGTAATGCCTACAACTAGTAAGAGATATATCCATGCATCAAAGTCGCTTGAAACAAAAAAGCCTATAATTTGTATATCGATAAGCAGAAAGAATGTTGTCAAACTTGAGGAAAAAAAAAAGAACACAATAAGAGACTTACAGTTGAAGAATTGAAGGATGAAGCTGCATACTTCTGAAGGGGACATCACTTTGTTCTCAAGTTTTGATATCAACTCACTGGCCTTCATATGAAGCTTCTGCCCTTTAAAATCTCCACTCCCTCTAAAGATTTTCCTAACACAATCAAGCTCTTTGATTAATGTCTCCAAATCCCATTGTACTGCACAAGCCTTGAAAACATCCTTAATGAACCCAAACATTTCAGAAGCATGACCACAACAAAGGCAGTTAAATTGCATCTCGCTTGTCCCCGCGGGCCCCTTCAAACTTGGACCGGGCTTTATTAGATTCTTTTGAATACCACAAGCTGCATGACACCAATGACCACATACATCACACCCAACCCAACTGCAGGTGTTGCTGGCGCAGTCGAAGTTTAGACAAACAGGACACATACACTCGCTACAAAATCCTTTCTTTGTGGAGCAAATCTTGCAGTCGCAGTCTTCAACAGGCAATAATCTCTTGCAATTCACATTCTTACACCTTTCGAATAAAAAGATCTCGATAAGTTCATTTGTCGAAAGGCGGGTTTGGCTGGATAAGAAGCTCTCGAGGCCCATTCTTATAGAAACCAAAAGCACAAGTTGGTTTTCATTTGCTTTTGAGAGTGTTTCACTGGTGAGATCAGACCTTCTCTCGAGCCGAAGCTGCAACCCCACCAATTCGTCTCTCTTTTCAGGAATCGAGATCAGTTTCTTCAAATAATCTTTTGTGGATTCGAATGTTTCTTCAGGAAGCTCTTGCGTTACTTGAGCCATTGTGGGAATAGACTCAGATACAATTTCTCGAAGAATCTTTTCAGGTCTAGAAAGCTTACGTGACCTTCCAAAATCCAAACCCTCCAACCCCTTTGTGTTCTCAGAACCTCTCCCCCTTGAATCACCCGATTGTGTGTCCATTTTCATCCTTGCCGGCAGTTCAGATGGGAAAAATGAAAGATTGTTATCAGAATTGGTCCGGTTAGCTTGTACCAATGCAACACCACCATCACCTACAGGCCTAAACCGGCTATGAACCGACCCGTTAGTGCCCTCCCCACCATTCCATATCTGGTCACAATCTCTCCTATGACTACCCATTGAATACTCGTAATTCTCAGTAGAATTTCGAGTCATAGAGCAACTTGGGTTATGTGAAAACTGATGTGAATACGAATACGACATGGAACCAGTTGTGAAATCATTGGAGAAGGTAGTTTGAGTGTTGTTACTATTTGACCTACCTAAAGACTGTAAACTCCTACTTGGCCTCAAACTCACCGAAGGATCACCATCTTGAACCCGATTCGATGCAGCCAGAGACATAGAAGTATCAGGCAAAGCTAGAGATAGGTCAAGGGTTTCTAACTTTGGCTTCTTATCTCTATTCACTCTATAAATTTCATCATCTTCAACCTCTCTTTTTGACGAATTCTCTGACAATTGCAGAAAGTCTCTCTCTACCCACCTATTCTCATCCTGGTTATGATTATTATGATCCTCAGAAACAACCAATTTTCCTTTAACTGTATCAAAGGAATTCAGTACACTTTTACCATTATCCGAAGAAGCCAATTTCGAATTATCACACAGATAGCTCAAAGTCAACTCTTGAGAAATTCCCAATTTCGAGGGTTTTGATTCCAGACCCTGGTCTGAATTTCTACAAAACCCATTACCCTTATCGGAAAACCCAATTCTTTCATCCGGATTCCCTCGATTTTCTTCAGACCCTATCTGTGTCAGCTTCGGTTCAGAGGTTTTGCTTCCATTACCACCATCACTTGAGCAATTTTCTCTATCTTTTAACATAATGATCCACCAAAATCAGAAGAAGAGAGAAATTAAAGAGTTATACCTTGTAAAGAGGTGAGAAAAGAAGTGAAATTGAAGGGTTGATTCCTTCGTTGGCTTCTCCACCCCCTTTGCCCTCTTTGAATTGTTCAATTCGCCATGACTCTCTTGCTTTCTCTCCGTACAGTGTGAATGTAATGGCTTCGGAGCCGCACACGGAGAGAATCTTATTACTCGACTGATATTACAAAATTAGTCCCTCAATTATGGATTACTCTGTTTCAGTCCTTCAACGTTTTTAATTTGTATTTGAAGTCCTTAAATAAAATCATTTCACATTTTAAGTTTTTTCTGCTTTTTTTATTAACCTGAATATCCAACCCGTTATGCGAGTCAACTAATCTCAGGGCGATCACCTGTTTTACAAGTAGCCCGAAGTCACCGCATTTGAACCTCCGTGGCTACAAGAGGATTTTTATTCCCCCTTGGATTCGAACCTGAGACCTCCAGACATTGTAAAGTTTTTTCTGCTTGTCATTGTTGACATAAGCCCGTTGAATAAAATACAAAAACAATGATTTAAAGCATCTCCAATAAGTTCTCAATGACGATGTAGAAAATGAAGATTTTAGAGATTTTAAAGTACTTTTTTTGTTCCGATAGGTTTTCTAAAATTTTCTCTAAAATGAATAAAGCAAGAGAAAAATAATAAAAAATCTTCAAATTTCAAAATAAAAAATTAAAATTAAATGTTAAAGAGTTTTTTTTATTCCTTCTCCTGACAGAGAAAGTAGAAGAGTGTATTATTATTTTTATACTAGAAAAGTACTCGTGCAATTTAGCAAGATATATTATGATTTTCTTTTTATTCTTTATCCCGATTGATGTTATAATATGGTCTTATGTAATTTTGAAAAAACAATAATGTTTTTATTTTTGAATAAAATATAAATTATAAGATATCATATGACAAAAATATATCGATATTAGTATCAAATTAACTACTTAAAATTTCTCATTTTTTGTGTGATTTTTTAATTCAAATTTTTTATTATAATTTAATTTAGGTTCAATGATTAATGAATTTATATTTGGTTTAATAATATAAATTTTTATCAAGATAATAATTAATTATTTTGTTAGAACTCAATAACTATTTTAATTATATTTTAGATTTTTTTATATTTTAAAATGAGATGTTTATCTTTTATTTGATTATGTTTATCCGCAGTTAGTTACACGAATCCAAATATGGAGTTTTAATAAGTTGTACTTACGTGCAGTTTACTTATAATCTTGAACTTTAAGTAATATGCATCAATAAATAGTACTTCATACATAAAAATGATTTTTAAGAGTTTTTGTCAAATGTTTTATAATATAATATAAATAAAATACATAAATGTTTATTGAGATAATAAATTAAAAAAACAGTAATGATGTAATTAATATTAAAATCTTAAAAATGGAAAACACTCTTGAAATTATAATTTTTTTACACATTTGTTTTTCTAATTTTTTATTTTAAAAAATTATATAAAATTGGTTGGAAACGATTCCAATAGAATCTGTAAAATAAAAAATATAGTTCCATTAAGACATCCTTTGAATCGTTAAGAGATGAATCTTGTTTGGTAAAAAAAAATCTGCTTCTTAATGGTTATAAAATCTTCTGAATGATTTTGTATCTTGGGTCTTCCTTAACCATTCAGTGCCCTAATTTTGTTGTAAATAATTAACATATAATTATATTTCATTTTATACTATATCATGAGAGTCTCTTAATCATTCTAACCACTTAATCAATCTACACCAAACCATTCAATAATTACGAAACAACCCCTAAATTTGAAAAACATTCTTTAAAATAAAGAAAAAAAAATCCATATTTAGAGAATAAAAAAAATCTCTAAAATTAAAGAGATGACGCATTAATTATTATTTTTTATTATTTTAAAGGATAAAAAAGGAAAAGGAAATTATTATTTTATAAAAAGTTTGTTGGGTATTATTTTATAAAAAGTTTGTTGGGTAATTTTTTTTTTAATAGGTAGGAGTTTTTCTTAGTTAATAAAAAGAAATCTATTATATTCTATCATAAAAATAGAATTCATGCTGATGTAATAATTAAAATAGTTGGTGAGAGATGAATGATGATAAATATATCAATATTTTATTGGCAAGTAGTTTAAGATAAAAAACCCTAAAGAGAAAATAAACAATATTCTAAAATGAATGGCCAATTAACTTTTTAGTTTTTACATATATTTTTTTTCAATGTAATTAATTAATATATGTTTGGACCCTTGATAAAATATAGAATTCGTTTTTGATCCTATTAGATATTAAAAAAATTTGTTTCTTTTATTTACTAATTTTTTAGACTATTACTATAATATTATATTCTAAAAACTTTGGGCACTTATTTCTTGCAAGTCATGGGCATACATCCGACCCGCCCTCCCAGAAACAGCCCTAAATTTGAACAGATTTTATGATTTCTTTTTTTCTTATAACCAATTTAAGGGTGAATTTGTAAAACATAAATTTTTAGAGAATCTAGGAGTTTAATATTCGAAGCATGAATCCTGGAGAACCTAAACCCATGAACGTCGACTACTAGAAGGTGAATATTTAGGGGATGATAAGAGTTAAATTTGCGAAAGTAAATCATAATCGAATCATGAACGGAGAAATCAGAGTCGTTTCATGAATATGGGAATTGTGTTCATGTGGCAACTGTGTCAATGAATATATAGATAGAGTCATAGAACTAAGATAAATGTGTTCATGAATCATTAATCTTCACTAGGATTGAAACATGTTGTTGCTCATATTATATGCTTAAATTAGATATTACAACTGTTAGGGGTGTTTGGTTCGTACAATAATTTTTGAAAGAAATTAATCTGTCAAAGAAATTGTAATCTGTAAGGAATTGAAATGAAATGTTATCAGGTTTGATCAAGTGTTTGGTTGACATGAATGGAATATAATATGTCTAATGAATTGAAATTTACTTGTTTGGTTTGCAATAGAATTGAAATGAAATGATAAAAAAGGACAAAAATACCCCTTCTTTGATATATTTTTTAATTTTTTTAATTGCAAATAACAATAAATTAACATTTAATGAGGTCTGTCTTGTTAGAGGAAACATATTTTTTAACATACACACATATTCATCTAGGGTTATTAAATTCGGATGGACCAACTCATTTTAAATAATTTATGCAAAATAGAGTGGAGGAAAGTTAATACCTATTGGAGATAAAGGGGATATCAAACTGGGTGGAAATAGCCATGAGACCAGTCCCAGAAAGGTCACACATGCTAAAAACTTGACCTACAAAAGCCGGTCCACCGCCATTCGTGCTCGAACTCCGATTGGAAATCCTCACACTGGATGGAAACCCTGAGTTGGTTGACTCCGATGCCATACTCCTAACTAATGACGATAAGGCTGACAGACTTGTAGAAGAAGAAGACGAGTCCATACCACTTAAAAGTCTAATGAGGGTATTTTTGTCATTTACACAATTTTGGATGGAATGGATTTTAATTCCATCACTTCCCCTAAGGAATGATTAAATCCTCAAATGATTAAATCTTTGGAATTCAATTCCATTCCATGGGTAAGCAAACATCGGAATGGAATTTGGTCAATGGAATTGACCATTCCAATTCCATCAGATTCCGGCGGATTCCGACGAACCAAACGACCCCTTAGATTGTATTGACATGCTAGAATCGTTCGTGATCACCCAATGGGCACAAAGTCCCCACAGTGGCGGTGCAAGTGCACGCCGACACTATGATCGCTTGCAAGTAATAAAGTGGTAAAAAGTACCGAGATCGTTCCACAGGGAAGTGACTACTGAGATTCAGAGACTTTTCATGAACTTCTTGCACGAGTTTCGAGTTGTAAATACATGTTGGATTTTTGTTTATAAAAAGACCAAAAGAGGACCGAACTAGCGAAATAACGAAATAAACTTTTTATATTAAAGAATGGGCATGGGTGCAAGTGTTGCTTAAGATAAATTAACAATAAAATGATTAAACTTTTATGAGTTGTTTATAAAAATTCCAATCTCTCGAAAGTGAACTTTTACAACCGGGCCTCAAAAATTTCCATAAGGTTTTTACATTTACCACTTCGAGACTTGCCGATCTAGCCAAAAAGTAAAAGAAATATGATTCTTACCCAAATCTCTTTGTTATAAAAATACCCATCGCTTAACCCCTAGCTAAATACATACAAAATTCGTGTCTCTGCGTAATTATCAAAGACTCTCTCGTGTTCTTTGTGCATCACTTAATCCGTATTTCAGATCCGCCCATCTCTGGGTCTAAGATCTAATATTAACACTTCAAAGTGATTGGCTTATCCGGGTCGAGATTAAGTCTCGTCTTAAGTGGCCAAGTTACGAAGTGATAAAAGATAAAAACACTCAAATATTATATAAACATCCTAAGTTAAAATCACACCCACACCCATACAAGTAATTTAGCTAGACATAATAAAAGTAATATAAGAAATTAAATATAACTGAAATATAAATTGCATTAATATAAAACTAAATTACAAGTACAAGGAAATAAAATACTAAATTACAACTACAAATTAAAGACATTAATTAAAGCTTAATAATAAAAGAAATAAGAGAGAAATGAGACACACTAAAGGGTGTTGTGTTTTGCATAGTTGGTGTCTTCAAAAGAGCTCCCAATGCCTCCTTTTTTATGTGGGAGAAAGGGGAGAAAGGACAACCAATGATTACCCCAAGGGTAATTAGTACAAAGCAAAAAAAATGCAAATAAAATATAACAGTGTTGATCCTCTCTCTCAGTGATTTGATGATAACCCCTTTTTCCTTTCACGTTGTATTTGTGTCTTTGTATTTTTCAGTTCCAGCGATCATCACCGAGTATGTT